CTGAAGACGATAATATCGTCTAAATATATCAGACATGTCTCCCACTGCAACCCCGTTAATACCAGCTCCATCAACCTTTGAAATGTGGCAGGGGCAGCATTCAACCCCATCGGAAGACAATTAAATTGGAATAACCCCTGCGGCGTACGGAAAGCAGTCTTCTCCTGCGAGGGCTCGTCAAGGGGAAGCTGCCAGAATCCCGAAGAGAGATCTAGTGTTGAAAAGAACTTCGCCCCCGACAAGGCATCGAGGGAGTCGTCCATACGCGGCAGGGGGTACGCATCTGCCACAGATACTTTATTTAATTTCCGGAAATCTACACAAAATCGCAATTTGCCGTCTTTCTTCTTAACCAAAACAACAGGCGCGCCCCATGGGCTGTTAGATGGAGATATTATGTCCGCAGCCAACATGTCATCCACTGCCCCTCGAACGTGTTCTCAGCTCAGCCGGACTCATCCGATGCGAGTTTAACCAAATAGGGGCAGCTTCCCCTGTGTCAATATGATGGTAAAGCAACGAGGTGCGTCCCAAGTCCAAATCGTCGGAGCTAAACACATCAGAATAACTCAATAATAATTTACGAATTGCGCAACGTTGTTCCCCAGAAAGGGAAGGATTTTCCCCACACAATTCGGCGATCCTGCGATTATCAGCAGCCCCAGGCCCTGAAACCCCAGCAACCATGCCCTGGCTGCCCAGATAATCCTGTGCCGTAAACGCCGTAGTGGCATGTGCCACAACCGTACCAGCCGGCACACACACATTTTCGGTACTCGCATTAAGCACCTGCAGAAATGGCTGCTGGTCCGGCCGGACAATAGTTTGCACCCCGACGAGCGCCGATCCGCCTGTTATGGTGGCGGACGGCGACAACAAAACCCCAATTGCACCTTGACGACCAGGCACAGGCTTCCGATATCGCAAGGGGATAAGCATCTGTGAGCCAGGTGGAATGTCAACAGATACCTCGGACAGTGCCTGCACCTGGCCGACTGGAGCAGGTCGCCCCCAGGGCAACGGCAAAAATGTAATTTTACGGCCACCCGGTAATTCAATGCAGTTTTCATTAATTCTAATTAGAATGGGCATCTTTGCCAGAAAATCAGTTCCCAACAAACAAGGAACTGCAAGAGACCTCGAAATTAACACAATTCCCGAGGCCGACACTCCCCCGATAGATATTTTAGCGTCCACCTGGCCCACAATGCCCATGCTACCCCCGTTCGCAGCGACGCACGAATCGTAAACCGGACGCACGGCCTCTGGTGGGATGCCCAACAGATGGAAAATTACATCCGATATAATGGTCGCGGACGCTCCGGAATCCACTAAAATATGCACGTCCACCCCTTGTATAGAACCAGGTACAGTGGACGAACCAGTAGCGGCCGCGACGACCCGCCGTGCCAATTTACGCCACTGCGTTACCGAGCGACATGGCCCAGTCAATGGCCTCCCGTTATTAACAACACCCGGATCGCACGACAACGGTGATGAGTGAGGTGTCAAGCCTTGCCGGGTGTCTGGTGCGCACCGACTTGCCTGTCCTGGAGGATCCTTCCGCGGAGCGTCCGCTGTCGAGGCCTCCTGCTGGGGCGGACCTGGGACACGGGCCCAGCAGTCCCTGGCGTAATGGCCCTTACGACCGCAGCGGAAGCATTCGATGTCGTTGCGCCGCTCCGCAGGCCCCCCGTCCCGACGCTCCCGTGTCGGCGGCGCAGCTCGCGGCCCCGGCCTACTGCGGCCCGACCACCGAGCAGAGGCGGCTGTCAGCTCCTGCGGGCCCCCCCCGTCAGGAACGTACACCGCCTTCTTGGGATCCCAACCCACGGCACCTCCTTCGACGATGGGCCCCCCCGTCCACGCCGTGACTTGCCTCCAACGGCGCAGGTTGAACTGGGCATCCAGACATTTAGCGGCCGCCCGGGATGTCAGCTTTTCATGGCCACAAACCGGCATAGGAATCCCCAAATCCCGGGACAGCTCGAGCATCTTACCCAAAATGAGAGGTTTGAGCAGGTCAGGCTCCGTCTCCGGGTATGCGGCCATGGCCAACTCCAATACCTCACCCCTGTATGCCACCGGCGACTCCTCGGGTGCTCGCTGGCGTTGAACAAACCGGCGATGAGCATCATCCGGTGGCTCGTATGCATCTGCCATCTCGTCGAAAACTCTTCTCAATGTTTTCTTCTTCTCGGCCTTTATAGAACGGAAGAATCTCACCGACTCGTCGTCGAGAAGAGTCGGTAGAACCTCCAATGCCTCAGCGTCAGTCCACCTTGCAGAGCGTACCGCCGCCAAAAATCTGCAGGCGAAAGCACTCCAATCGTCACCGATGGAGAATTCTTTAACGGTTGTGAGATGACGACTGCGACTCCTTGGTGCGCCGTCCTCAGCCGATGACTCATCAGGCGGCATATTCAAAATGGCGTCGCATCGCAACGTGTTCAAGATGGCGGCCTCCCGCCGCGGAGAGCGCAAAATGGCGGCTTCCCGCCGTTCTTCTCCTGCCACGCCCAAGATGGCGTCTTCGTGCCGCGTGGCCGATGGCGCCGACAGCGCAGGCAAGGCGGCGGCCTGCGGACCACCATCGGTTCTCCCCAACGCCGTCCTCGGCGTGACGAGCTCACACAATTGCGCCAGCACGATTTTCAGTGTCTCCAGCTGCGCCGCCATCTGTCTCCATCGCAAGTCCGCGTCCTCCGGCGCAGACGGATCCACCGACGCGGCGACATTTTGGACTCCCGGACCCGCACTCGTTCCCGCTCGGATCTCTTCCTCTATCGCAGGCAGGTCCACCGCCTGAGGAAGGTCGTCGTCGTCGGATGGTGTAGCAGATGATGGCGCAGGAATATTCTTTCTTCTGAGCTGTTTTGACATGCCGTTTCACTTCTGACACCAGTGTAATAAAGGACTCGTTCACTGTGTCTGTCTCCGTTGTCCTTTATTCGGGTTCTTTACAACTTGTCCCACACGGCCCTCGCTCAGAGCCTCTCCGCTCGGCAGCACAATGCTGCCATCGCTCCCGTAGCCTCTCTCCACTCCGATGCAGCTCCGCTGCTGGTTCCCTCGTGCAGGCCTCCGGCTGCCCTCACTGCAGCCCCACCGCTGCTCCCCGTTCCTCCGTGCTCGGTCACCGCTGGCCGACGGTGCCGAGTCTTACTGTGTGTGTGGCGATCTCGCCACTCTCCAACCTCCGCCCTGCGTGGCCTCACTCTATCTCTATCTCCAACTCTCTCCTGTCTCTTCCGGTATCTCTCCCTTAAGACCTCATGCCTCTCTCTCACGTGACCTAACTCCTCCCCCCGTGACGTCATATCCACGAGGCCGTTTACGCCCGCATTACAGAAGTGTGAACGCGTGTGGTGCTGTGTACACAGTGGTACGCCACGTGGGAGCGCTGCGCAGAGCGGCGCAAGGGAAAGGGTTGCGTTTGAAGTGCGCGGTACTGTGTATACGTAGACTCGTAGTGAGTGAGTGCCGGGCAGAGCTGGGCGCGTGTGTGCGTACGGTCGCTACGCGTCTGATACAGGTGTGCATTGGTAATGTGGTTATTTGACGTGGAGGCGAGTGCTGCACCGGGCTGTAGATGGGCACACGCTCGCGGCGTGCGAGAGCTGTACGTAGCGGTGTTGAAAGGGGGAGTATGGCGTTTGATTGATGATGCTGTGCGTACGTATGCTCGCAGCGTGGGAGCGCTGCGCGAGGCTGTATGAGTAGGGGGCGTCACGTTCGAATGCCGGCGAAACCATAGCGGGTATTAGGGCGGTGCGGTGACGCAAACGGAATAGGGGATGCAGGCGGGGGAGACCCCGGGGGCCAACGGCCCCCACAGTTGCACTTGGTTGTCAATAAATGATTATTCTCCACAGTTGGTTCACGTCCTTGAGCAAAGTGTTCCAATAGTGCATGACGAATCGAGGAATAATTAATAAATTAAATTTTTTGTTAAGTTTCTCTGTATTCCTGATCGAGTTATTGTCCTTTTCATCGCCGTTAAAGCAATGTTGAAAAATCTGCGCTGGTACCCGATAATAAAATTAAGGGAATTTCACGGCAGATAAAATGGATCCTACCTCATTTCTCTCTCTCCCACGTAAAAAAAAGAGCGACCCTCACAATTAGCATGGCTGCAATAGCGATTCGGGTCTCATTTTGTGGCTGCTCATCCTATAAATGTCTTGATAGTGCATTGCCTTTGCAATTCCGCCTTTTGGTGTTCTCCGGTCTGAGACTGGTGAGACTAGGCCCTAAAAAATTAACCCGTAAAAAAAAGTTTTTCACTATAAATCCTTTATATGCGTGGCGGCTAGAGTCATCTCGTCCTCTGGCTTGAGATGGCTGCCACCTATGGGTCAGATGATTGCCTGCCACCATTAAGCAATTGGTAATTAAATATAAAAAGTGTAAAATTTTGGAAAAATTTCTTCACGAAAATACATTGTCACGCACAACGAGTCTGTGTGCAAAATGTCAGCTCGATTGGATCACGGGAAGTGGGTTAAAAAACGACCGAAAGATTTGCACGGTCGTAAGCACGCAAGCAAGCATGTGAACTTAATATAAAGGATTTAAAAAAGATGTATCTGTAGTAGGACAATCCGTTTCAAAGACAAGGCATCATAGATTAACAGTGCCATGTTTGTTTGCATGTTCGCTAAAAGTACTGTGTGTGGTTAATGCAGAAATGTATTCCTTGCAAAAGGTATATATTGGTGTTTGAACATCTGAACACAACTCCAGTTTAATTGCCAGAAAGGGTAACACCTATTATGATTTTCTCAAACTTTTATACCGGCAAAAAAGGTCCTATTTCGTTTTTTTTTTCGCTGATGTTGATGTGATACAGTCGCACTACCCCTGGGGCACCTGCCCCCCGCCCACATGAGCGGGTCACGGTGCCGGGTTCAGCAAAGGGCCTCGCCCGGTGGTTCGTGGCTCCACAAACTGGACCTTGAGCCCCAGGCACGTGACCGAGTTAAACACGGCAACTCCCACCAGTGTCTCACAGCTCGACAACTGGAACACGACTTTGAGACAGGATCACATTATTTTCATGAAGTAGTTTAAAGTGTTAAACTTATAAGGAAAAAAGGTGAAGCTGAAAGATGAAGATAACAACAACAATCTCGTGGAGTAGAGCGGCAGGGAGCAACGAGTTTACTAGCAGCGTTCCCCTGCCAGTTCAGTTGAGACGAGTTGAGATGAGTTGAGTTGTGATGAGGCGAGTAGAGGTGAGGTGAGATGAGGTGAGGTGGGTTGTAATGAGGTGAGTAGAGGTGATACGCAAATCAAACTGAAAGACTTACTGCTTCCTTGTTGCCCATTTACGTGGCTTGTTCCTCGTTTAGCCTGAGCTACAGACAGAGACTGCCTGAGCTACAGACAGTGCCTTCTCTGAGTGGAGCCACAGGGCCATGGCGAGTGCGGCTCCCAGTGGTAGCGAGGCTCCAGGGGAGTTGACCTGCCCCATCTGCCTGGACGCCTACCGCTGTCCCTGCACGCTCAGCTGCGGCCACTCATTCTGCCTCAAGTGCGTGGAGGGCGCCTGGGATGTGGCCAAGTCCTTCTCCTGCCCGCAGTGCCGAGTGACCTTCCCTCGGAGGCCCAAGCTGAGCAAGAACTTCACACTCGCCAACCTGGTGGAGCAGCGCAGTGCCGCAGAGAAAATGGCCACCATGGTCTTGTGTGACTTCTGCAACGATGGCATGACCGCTGCCTCGAAGACCTGCCTCAGGTGTGATATGTCCTACTGTGTGACTCATGTAAAGACTCATCAGGAGAACCGGAAGTTAAGGAGCCACATTCTGGTGGATCCAGCCACGAATCCTGAGGACCGCAAATGCAAGCCGCACAGAAAGAGGATCAAGTTTTACTGCCGACAGGACAAGAGCTTGGTCTGCACAACCTGCATCATCGCAGGAGACCACAAGGGTCACGATGTGGCTACGCTGGAGGATGAGTACAAGACACGGGAGGTGAGACGGTCTGCGTGTGTGAGTTGTAGCCCCTCCTCCATGAAGTCATCATGTCCCAGTACAAACTGAACAATAATATCAAATAAATATTATATCCTTCTTCTCTCAGCTTCCCATTGTTTCTTCAAAGTTTAACAACCTTGATTTAATATAAAGTATGCTGAGGTTGTCATAGTGCAGAAATAATACGAAAACATGTTGTTATCAATCCTGATATCTGACAAATTTATAAATGTGCTCTTAGTATATTTTAAAAAACTGAAGGACTATAATGCATACAATGTTTTCTCTAAATGACGTGGTTTGTATACAAAAAAGTGGTTTGTGGAATAGAGGAGCATTCCCCAAAATGTAAACGAAATGTTAAACGACTGGGACTGAGTGAGCCGCAGTGCTCACCGCTTGGTAGCCTCGTGCCGGTCTGTCTCAGTTTAGTGCCGCACCCGACAGCAGCTACTGGGTCGCTGGACTTGGGGTTCCAGAAATGTCGCTTGATTTTGACGGACCAAGTAATTCGTGACGGCATTTATATTTTCATTAATATTCTCTATACCGAATTTCTCTGACGCTCAACAGTCACATAGCAGCGGTTCCTTGTGCCATGTAAAACTTAACTAAAACTATTTTTTATTTCACCAAGTGAAGCTCACTGAGCTATGTAGCTCTTTATCACAGGCAAACCTTGCCACAAATGAGAGCTCAACGAAGTGGCTTACTAGGTCTAAATGTATAGCAGCCAAATGCTCTAAACGCACTTTCCAAAACGTGGACAGAAAAACTGGATGGCCCAGAGAAAGATCCATGCGACCATGGAGAGAGACATGCAAACTGCATAAACAGGCATCAGGCACGGGTTCGAACCCACGTCCTCTTGTATTGCAGGTGTAATGCGAGCGTAAATGGGCAGGTCTGATGTGACGATCCGAGAGGGAGGAGTCAGGGTCACGTGGGAGAGGGAGGAGTCAGGGTCACGTGGGCGATGGGTTATAGGAAGGAGACCGGAAGACATCAGGGAGTCGAGGGAGTGAAGAGGGATACCACGTTGGGTGGCCGCCGTGCCTCAGCCTGGTGGCTGAGGGGCTCATCGGACGGCGCCAGCCAGCGGGGTGAGGAGAGAGCAGAGTGCGTGGGGCGCACAGGGCGTGCAGGGGTTGCACGGAGCAGCCGAGTAGCTGCAGAGCTAGCGGAGGCTAGCACAGGGCGTGCGAGGTTGCACAGAGCAGCCGAGTAGCTGCAGAACTAGCGGAGGCTAGCAGAGGGTGCGAGGTTGCACAGGTAGCAGAGTAGCTGCATAGCGGAGCAGCAGTGGGGCTGCATAGGGAGCAGCAGGGTAGCTGCAGAGTGCGTGGGGCGCAAGGAGAGACAACGCTGGGCCGAGGAGGAGGCCAGCGGGGTGAGCGGAAGACGAACACAAATAAAGGACCGACGGAGATCAACATCGTGTGATGGAGTCTTTTATTACATTGGTGTCAGAGTGGACTTTTTCAAGGCAAAATAACATCGAGGAAGACGGCTGAGAACTTGAAAAAGCGTAACCCACTTGTTACGTCTTCTGACGACGAAGAAACGGCCGCCGGCGCACGTCCTCCAGCGGCTACATGGCGGTCCAACTTGAATCGCTGCGGCCCGTTCTGCTGGATTTTGTCACCTTGGTTGCGCCGGTGACGAGGCCGGATCGGCCACGTGGCGGGCCTGGAAGCGGTGAGGATCCGAGTGGGGCTGCGCCGTCCGCCATTGGGGCCTGGCCCACGCTTCCCGCCTCTCCAACACGCGGCAGGGCGCCGCCATCTTGGGTGTGGTCGAGGAGAAATGGCGGGAAGCCGCCATCTTGTCTTCACCGCCGCGGGAAAACGCCGCCATCTTCAACATCGCGGCGGAGAGGCGGCCGTGCGCTGCCATCTGGAGGCGCCGCGGGGTGAGAAGCCTGTTGTGGAGCTGCTGTTTTGCGGGGGAAGGGGAGCCGCTAGGAGAGGACGCCGATGCTGCAGCTGCTGGGGCGGGAGCTCTCCCGTCCTGGCTCGGGTGCGAGACACCGGAGCAGTCAAGTCATCGTTCGAGTTCTGCGAGGCGTCTCAAGTTACCACCCTGCCGTCCTCTGCTCGCTGCAGCCCCGAGCGAGTCATAACGAGATGCACCCGACCCTAACACACACCTCACCCATCTAGCGTGTGCCGGGGGGGCGATTGTTGTCATGTCTTGAGCGAGCGGAGAGCGGTTCGGGCTGTGTGTGTGTTGACGATGGACGCGCTATCTGCTTGTTTGCTTAGTGTCAAATAGTGTGCGTGCGTTGCGGCGTGGAGATGTTATCTTCATGGCGAAGTTAATTATTAATTCGGTTGCGTCAGGTATCTCGCGCTGTAACATCTCGTGGGAGCCTTGAGCGATGTGGTTAATTGAAAAAAATGTTTGCGTGTTGTTGCTGCAAGGTGCCGTGTGCAATGTGGTTGATTGCAAAAGAGAGAATGTTTTTGTTGTTGCTGCAAGTTACGACAGGGTTAATGGGGTGTTGGTTGCCTGCAGATCTGCTTGCTATTGTGCTTAAATGTACGCTTGTGATCGCGATATGCTGACTGCATGTGCTGTTTACACTGTTCTGTACGGATACGGAGTGCGGTGCATTGGTTGACCATTGGGTTTGGGATTGTTATTAATTGTGCGTACCTGTTTGGAAATTGGTAAAAATTCGGGGGGGACCCAAAATTTTGGTTGTATGGGTGTTTATGCACACGAGATTGCGGGTGTGTTCATAGGTAATTGCGCTTGTTGAGAGAGAGGGCGCGCGATTACACCGTTGTTGGTGGCTTTGCTGTTACGGGTGATGGGGCCGTAAATTGCCCGCCAAGTGGCGTCGCTCATTCTGTTGATTGCAAGCGGCCAGGGGTTGCTTTGCGAGTTGGTGTGTGTAAGCAATGTGGTTTGGTAAAATGGGTAAAAATTTCCCCAATACGACTGCTGTGCGCAGCAAACTGGGGCTGTGTGTCCTATCACTGAGGGGTTGTTACAATGTGACGTGGGATGCGTCTTGTGACCCCCAGCAACGGGCAGCTGGGGTGCACGCACGGGGAAAACTGGCGACGTGCTCGCACGTTGGCCCGCCATTTTGAGCGCGCGCGGGGTATTGCGACGATGCGCTTTGCGTAAGGGGCCGCCATTTTGAGTTCGCGCGAGATATTGCGGGGATGCGCTTGGCGAAGGGTGCCGCCATTTTGAGCGCGCGGGAAAAACCTCGGTGGGGCAAATATTTCATCTGTATATGCCTGCCATTGTCGAGTGGGTCATGCACGAGTTGTGGTCACATCGGCCTATGGCTGATGGCTGACCTGACAGCCCGGAGGCGAGATGCTCCGTGGTATGTCTCAAATTAATGGGCCGTGTGCTCATATGGCTCGGGGAGTCATGGTTCAGTTGTGCGGTGGCACACTGAACCTGGTGTGCCGGGGGCTCACGGGATTCTGGAGTGGAGGGTTTGTTACGTGCCAGCGAACGGGGTGACCTGGCTAGCATGGAGCAGGGATTCTCTATGCGGGTCCTCCAGCGGGAAGGGCCGCGGACTTGTTCCGCTCTGGGTTAGGGCATTATTGAATCTATAAGAGAACATTGCCCTGTGGGGGGGGGGGGGGGGGTCGTTGGTGTCTGGCCTTGCCGAGGGATTAATCTTCCCTTGGCTATAAAGCGTCAGACTATAAGATGCTGGTGTGTGTCCATCGCTGATGGGATAGTAAGGGAGGAGCATGGCCGAGTTGCTGCTCATCCCCGAAATTGCACTAGCCGAGAGTATGACCAGTGGATGTTGCTGTGGTTTGACGACCACGGTGAGGGTTAGGGCGAGTTAAATGTTACCGCTGGGGAGCGTGGCTTTCTCCACGCGAGGGTGTGCGACTGGGGGCTTTGCTGAGAGTGACCGTGGGTACATGCTGTGTACGTGCGATGTCTGTGCTGGTCCTCAAGGGAGGACTGCTGGTGGGCAAGAGCAGGAAATGTTTTTGTTGTTGTTGTCACGTGTAAATAATATTGTTAAAATATAAATACTGGGGCATCCATCGCGTCTATTTGGGTATTTATTGGGGGTTTCTTAAGCGGGCCGGATTTACATCATCTCCACTACCCTGGGGCCGGGTGGCTGTCGTGTACGACATGCGGATGTGCGTTGTTGTGCTGTGCCTCAGGGGATTGGATTCTCCTTCTCGTCACAGATCTTCGGCGCCTGCCACACTGGGTGTTACCTGGTGTGCTAACTGGATGAGGACTTAAAGGGGCAATTGAGCGCCCGTTCGTCATTCCTGCTCTATCACTTGCTCTTTGATGTTGGACTTGAGCCGAGCGGATGGAACAGCAACACGACACGCTCTAAGACACCACATTCCTGGGTTGTGCGCGTCGGGCGTTCTTGCGTGTCGGTTGCCGTTGTTGTGCATTGTTCCATTCTTATTCTTGTTGTTGTTGCGCAGAGGACAGGCCGGTGTTCTGTTCCGGATCCTGATCCCTCCCCTTTCGTTACTTGTGTTGTTGTTGTTATAATCTCCGTTGTGTCTGGGGGACTCCTGATTGTGATGCCTTTGCTCGCATTATTTTGTCCTGTTTTAGCCGAGGACGGCTGGATTTTTCTTCACGGGGGGGGGGGGGGGTGGTGTAATGCGAGCGTAAATGGGCAGGTCGGATGTGACGATCCGAGAGGGAGGAGTCAGGGTCACGTGGGAGAGGGAGGAGTCAGGGTCACGTGGGCGAGGGGTTATAGGAAGGAGACCGGAAGACATCAGGGAGTCGAGGGAGTGAAGAGGGAGTGAAGAGGGAGACCACGTTGGGTGGCCGCCGTGCCTCAGCCTGGTAGCTGAGGGGCTCATCGGACGGCGCCAGCCAGCGGGGTGAGGAGAGAGCAGAGTGCGCGGGGCGCACAGGGCATGCAGGGGTTGCACGGAGCAGCCGAGTAGCTGCAGAGACTAGCGGAGGCTAGCACAGGGCATGCGAGGTTGCACGGAGCAGCCGAGTAGCTGCAGAACTAGCGGATGCTAGCAGAGGGTGCGAGGTTGCACAAGCAGCAGAGTAGCTGCATAGCGGAGCAGCAGTGGGGCTGCATAGGGAGCAGCAGGGTAGCTGCAGAGTGCGCGGGGCGCAAGGAGAGACGACGCTGGGCCGAGGAGGAGGCCAGCGGGGTGAGCGGAAGACGAACACAAATAAAGGACCGACAGAGATCAACATCGTGTGACGGAGTCCTTTATTACAAAGGCAAGGCAGATAACATCTCGCCGCTGAGGTGCCCTGCCCACCAACTACTCAGATAGCCCCGCCCACCACTCGGGTAGCCCCGCCCACCACTCGGGTAGCCCGGACCACTTCTCCTGTAGCCCCGTCCACTGCTCAGTTAGCCATGCCCACTGCTCAGGTAGCCCCACCTACTGCTCAAGTAGCCCCGCCCACTACTCAGGTAGCCCCACTCACTGCACAGGTAGCTCCGCCTACTGCGCAGAGAGATCCACTCACTACTCAGGTAGTCCCACACACTGCTCAGGTCGCTCCACTCACTGCTCAGGCAGCCCTGCCCACTACTTTGGTAGACCTGCGCACGTTTGAGCTCCTCGTGAAATCAGTTCCCTGCAGCACTTGATCCCCCAGCCTCCATCGCTGCACCGGGGCACCTGCCCCCATCACTGTGGAGGGGTTTGTGTGGAGTGTGGGTGAGAGGGGATGCTCAGAGAGTGAGTGGAGTCTCCCCTGGTGACGTCTTTCACAGAAACAAGTGGGAGAGGAGATGCGGGTGGTAGAGGAGAAGAGGAGGGAGGCGGAGGAGTCCATAAGGCAGATGGAGGCCGCTCACAGGGACGTGCAGGTACCGTAGTCTGGGCCGGACTCGGTGACCCCGTGACTCCACCCTGAGTAGGATTTGTGATGGAGAACAACTCTATTCATTCACGTGGACTTTCATTGGCTCTAAACACATTGTGGGACTAAAGACACAACGGTTAATGCACCTTAATAAGCAGGACGAGCAACGAGGTGGTTCTCATCTCCACTGAGAAACTCAATCAGTGGTGGAAATTCCACATTCCCATATCTCCATACAACTTACCACTTCAACGTCAGTTATCTATATTGGTCAGATGAAGATTGTACGTACCTCTAATCCAATACTCTGGTGGCAGAGTTGGTGGATCACACATAGACTGTTGTACACGCTTTAGTGAAACCAATTAGACGATAGAGTGACCAGGTGCCAGTATAGCAAGTGGTTTCATGATCCCCTCTCTTCATCCATACATATGTGGTTTTCTCTCACATTCAAAATATGCATTTGAAGAGGAATTGGCCTAACTTCAAAATTCCTTAGGGCTCTACTTGTTGTAGGCAAATTCCAAATTTATCTTCGCTTCATATGAAGGCAAACAAAGCATCGTCCTGATAGCCTTGCGCAATGAGAATGGCACAGACCCTAAATATACTCCTGATGGAATTTGATTATTTCAATGCCTCATAGCCCCCGAATCGTGTTGTACTGACAATGTACAGCAGTGCTATCAGAGGAAGAAGGAGGGCTCAGTGCTGCAGACTCGTATCACTGTATGGACACCTGAATGTCATTTCACAAAGGACCAGACATTAAATGAACAGAGGTGGCATTTCTTTCTCTTTGCAGGGATCCATGACAGATAAAAAGGCCTCAATCTCAGTCAGGTTCTCCCACGCGAGAGCAGCGTTGGATGCGGAGGAGAAGGCGGCTTTAGAACAACTGGAGCAGAAAGGGCGCGACCTGCTGTCCCAGATCGAGAAGAAGATCGCTCACTACCAGCGGGAGCTCAGCGAGCTCCAGACAGCAGCCACTCGCCTGCAGGCCCTAGCACACGAGAGGGACTCGCTCGCATTCCTGCAGGTGAGCGATGGGTCTCCAGTGTCGTTATTGGTACAGAGCCCTCTCACCAGCAGCAGCAGAGGCTCCTGAATGAGAGCTCGCATCTCCTGGGCTTGAGAACACAGCTCCACTCATGGACTCGCATCGCAGCTGAAGTGGCTGCCATTTGGAAGGCCAGCTCATATTTTCTCAGTCAAATTAATTGTCTCCCGCCCTTTAACAGATTCCCATTAAGTTTGTTTCATTGTGAATATAAACTAAATGTTAATGGAATTTCACTTTTTAAATCAACCATGCAACAACAGTGTACACGGTATTTATGATTCTCATCAGCCATTATCTATCCACTTATTGAGGAAGGCCTCCCAAAGCCATTGTCACATCTCATGATGCCGCGATGCAACAATCCACCAGCTCCTGCTCACGAGCCGATGTCATCTCTGCTTCTTACTTCGTGTACCTCCACTTGGATGCACGACCTTCATTGTTCATATCAGGGATGCTCAAATAAATACTATCTCATACACTTATTAATTATATCATTGTGTCTTGAACATCACTTCTACAAGATCTGCACCATGTGCATTGATAACTCGAGAAACTTCTAGTCCTACGTTCCTCTCAACACAGATCAATATCAACCGGTCTCACTCTGAAATATTTGCCCTGCAAATTAGTGTTGGTCCTCATGGTGGTGGCGAGATGTTAACTACCTAGCCTGGTATACCGAAGGTCCGGGATTTAATATCAACACTGACGTCCTTATATATTTGGAGTTTACATTTCTCCCTCCATGGTCGCATGGATTTTTCTCTGGGTCATCCAGTTTTTTCCTCCACATTTGAAAACTTGCGTTTAGAGTATTGGGCTGCTTTAAATTTCCACGAGATGAACCACTTCATTGAGCTATCATTTGTGGCCAGGTCTCTTCTGAAAAAGAGCTATATAGCTCCGTGGGCCTTACCTGTAAAATAAATTGTAGTTTATCATTAACTATCAATCGGTCTCACTCTGAAATATTTGCCCCGTAAGTCAGTGTTTTTTATCATAGGGTCATAAGCCAAGACTTTGGGGTTTATTTTCCACCCACGGTGTTGCAGTGTGAACTCCACTGATCACAAGGGAATGGAGGTAGAGTCACAGTAATGCATCTCTCTCTCTCCCATAGGGGCACCTGGAGGAGACGAGCAGGTAAAATACGACTATCACTCACGACTCGACACACGACAACCTGGGACTGAGTGTGGGGTGCGGGCAGTGAGACATCGGCTGTGTGGAGATGCTCTGTGTGGTGATGCTGTGTGTGATGATGGTTGTTTGTGTGGTTATGGTGTGTGTGGTGATGGTTTGTGTGGTTATGGTGTGCGTGATGATGCTGTGTGTGGTGATGGTGTGTGTGGTGATGCTTTATGTGTGTGTGGTGATAGTAAAGCTGCGTGTGATAATGCTGTGTGCAATGATGCTGTGTGTGGTGATGTGTGTGGTGATGTTGTGATGGTGCTGTGTGTGATGATGCTAAGTGTGGTGATAGTAATGCTATACTCTTAGGTTTTTTCCGAAAGCTTCAAATCTAGATAGTAATGCTATGTGGTGATGCTGTAATTGTGATGTGAGTAATGCTTGTGTGATGAGTTTCGATATGATGATGCTGTGATGCGTGTCTATGTGATGGAGCTGTAATGGTCCTGTGAGTGACGATGCTCTATGTGAAACAGTGGCCATGTCTGTTCTGCTTCACAGGGCAGGGATGTTTACAGCAGATTCACCCTCATGTCCTAGCCAAGAGGACATTGCCTCGCTTAAAGGCACCGAGGGAACTGTGGCCAAATTCCTGTGTGAGTTATTCAGTGTGGAACATGGGTGATGGGGCCATCTTCACAATACATGATCACCGTGTGTGTGTGCACGAGGTCGACTCAGCTTCAAATGCTTACCTAGTTTTGTGTGTAAACATCACCACTAAAGAGACAAAGGTGGCCAGGCGTAGTGCTGGCCACCAAGCCCCGCTTGTGCTGTGCCAGCTTTCAAAGGTGCTGCTTTTCCCCGACAGTCTGTTAAGGCAACACGGGGAATACTTATCTTTGTGTACATCATGGAACTTGATGCGGTGTTTGAACAACATCGCCACTAGGGAGACAAAGGTGGTTGAGCGTGGTGCTGGCCATCCACCTCCTCGTGTGCCGTGCTGGTCTTCATAGACGCTCGCTAACAACACTTGCCCCAATGGTCTGTTGAGGCTAAACAGGGGATCTTTGTCTTTGTTCACATCCCATTCCAGGACACTACTGAACAACACCATGATACTCAGTGTGGTGTTCTTGCGTAAATAATCAGCATGAGTCAGGGGTAATTGTGATGTTGACATGCAGTGCATGCCAGTGAATGTGTATGGGTGGGGAGAGCGGTAGCATAGTGGTTAGCACACTGCACTACGAACCCAGTTACCTGGGTTTAATTATCCGCCATGGCTAATATCAGTTGCAGGTCATATATTATCCAGTCCAGGGCCTCTACTGGGCAGTTTCAACCTCAAATGAGTTCCTGATGCTGGTAATAGTCATGATGGTGATAGTGGTCGTGATGAGGATAGTGGTGCATTGGCCAGTCATCTCAGTCGACCCATGGCAACTGGGTCTGCTCCATGACCTCCTGCCAGTGGGCGTTCTAAACTTCACGTGGCCTCAACGTGCACATAGCCTGACACAGGCCCCGTGGTGATGTCACCGCCACTTAGTGGCGAATGGCTGTTGTTGTTGTTGGTAATGATGCTGATGTTGGTGATAATGTGAGTGATGGGGACGGTGATGGCATTGGTGAATGATGGTGTTGGTCGTGGTGATGGCAGTGATAGTCGTGGTGATGGTCATAATGGTGACATGGGTGATAATATAGGTGGTGATGGTTTTGCTGATGGCGCTGATAGAAGTAGTGATGATGGTATTGGTTACGGTGATAATGGTAGTGATGGTCGTGACAATGGTTTTGATGGTCGTTATGATGGTTATAATGATGCTGGTTGCGTTGGTGATGGTGATGAAGATGGTGATGAGTTGGGGTGATGGGGATAGTGGTGATGGTGGTGGTGATTGTTTGTGATGGTGCTCGTGGTGGTGATGATCGTTGTGATGTTGCTGATGGCGATAGTGATGTTGTTGATGTTCATAGTGTTGATGATGGTGGTGATGGTGATGTTTATGTTGTTGTCATTGATGATATTGATGGCGAGAATGGTTGGTGATGGTGATGTTTGTGTTGTTATAGGTGATGGTGAAGATAATGGTTGGTGATGGTGATGTTGATGGTGGTGATGGTGGATGATGGTGATGACGGTGTTCTGCAGTGATGTTGTCATCGCTGTTGTCACAGATGGATGCTCACCGACTCTCGACACAAACTCAGCTCATAACCAACTCCAGATCTCCTCGGATCTCAGGACGATGACGCGGACCCGTGACTCCCAGGGTCGCCCCGATCATCCACACCGGTTTGATTACTGGTCACAAGCCCTGTGCTGTGAGAGCTTCTCGTCAGGCCACCACTACTGGGAGGTGGATGTGGGGGACGCGAGGTGGTGGCGGGTTGGAGTCGCATACGGGACGATCCTGCGGAAAGGGAGTGGTGATGCTGCACAGTTGCTGGGAGGGAGCGACGCGTCCTGGTGTTTAGAGAAATATGACGACAATTTCTCAGTCTTTCATGGTGGTGTGAAGACTGCACTGTCGGTGAGGGGGGCCCCCTACCCCCGCAGAATCAGGCTTCAGCTGCACTGGGAGGAAGGGCTCCTGGCTTTTTACCGCGCCGACTCCATGGAGGTGATCCACGAGGTTCGGCAGATATTCTTGCAGCCTATCTACCCTGGGATGTGTGTGTGGTGTTTGAATGAACCATTGAAGATCATGGATCTCAGTCGTGCATCCTGAGGATGGGGAGAGACAGAAACCCAAAAAACAGAGGAGAGGGGGGATGTTGAGAAGAGTGTGAATTGAGGGTGAGGGGAAATTGGAGGGGAAGGTGGCAGGTGAGCATGGAGGGTGATGGTGAGGGTGAAGGGTCAAAAGAGGGTTAGGAGAGGAGAGGATGGGAAGGAGTGGGTATTGAGACAGTGAGCAGAAGGTGAGGTGAAAATTCAGGGAAGGGTGAGGTGAGCATGGAGGGGTGGTAGGGTAAGAAGGGAGGGTGAGGTTCAGGTTGGTGTGCATGAGCGATGTCGCCTGTCAAGTACAAATCGCCGGTGCGGAAGTTTGAGGGATGTTAATGAAATCTGAGTGGGGAATTAACACAGCCCCAAAGTCCATGTGGTCACTCCTTCACCTGCAGTGCGTGCTCGCATCACCATGCCTCATCTCTACGATTCACCATCATCACCATCATTATCACCATCACCACCATCACTATCAACCACCATCACCATCATCATTACTATCAACACCACCAAAACCATCACCGACATCGTCACTATCATCACAACGATCACCACCATCATTACCATCACTCCATCATCATCACTATTGTAGAGGTGCTAGACACTCTATTCAGTAACCTGCGGGGCCACTATGTATTAAAGGGGCAATGCAGTGTTACCACTCTGGGACCAACGGCCGGGGTTTGGGAGAGGTGAGAGCAGATGGTAAACACGGATTCCCGCCAGACCAATGGCCAGGGGGTCAGATGAGGTAAAGAGGATCGAAAACGCAGATTGTAAAGAACCAATCAGAGGGTCCCACGAGGGAGCGTGGGATTGGATAAGGACCATTAAAAACGGGTATAAAAGGGCGAGCGTGGGGAGCGCCCGACAGTTCTCCTCACACGAAGACAGAAGCCAGGCTGAAAAAGCTAGGACCCTGGACCAAGCCTTCCAGCTCTTGTGAGAGCTAAGGCTCAGTGTTCCTGTGGTCAAGGAGAGAATAGGTATTGGCAGGCAGGACCCTGGCTCCCCAGCCTTCCAGCTCTTGTAAGAGCTAAGACTCTGCGCGACCAGTGGACAGGGGACCCCCCGAGCCAGCGGTGGGTCAAGCTAGCCTCCCCTAAGTCCCAGCCAGAGGACGCTAGGGTAGCGGGTAGACTGGGAATAGCTCCTGCCAGTTCGGAGGCTGTACCTCCCTAGGCTACGGGTGAGGGAACCAGATATCCCTCTGTGTGTGTATAGGGACTTTGTCGGAAGAAAGACAATACACCAGTGTGTGCCTTAAAGAAGTTTATTCATCTGTTATTTACAACACTACAACTGGCGTCAGAAGTGGTTAAAGACGAACATGGAAACAAGAAGCACAGTCCGTGTGCAAGGTACGGAGGAAGAAAACTCCGACTCACCTGGAGGAGCGGAGAGCGCCGCTGAAGATGTGGGCATGGAGCCATCCGCCCAACTGCCAGCCCAACCGCCGATTGCCGCGGGCGACAAGATCCAGGCTGCACACGGCCGTCTCGCCCAACTGCTGCATGCTGCAGCCGCCATCCTTGAAGGAATTACTTTGGGGGCTGCAGGCGGAGTGGACTGGCCGCCGGCGGACGTTCCCGCCATTACACACCCGGAAGGGTTCGAATTTCCCGCCGAAAGGTCACATGCTTCCGCGAGAAGCGGAAATCAAGTGCACGCTGGGAACATTGACAGCCAATCACGGCACGCTGCGTTATCAGCGTGGGACGCTGCCTCCGCAAGTCGCTCGGGCAATGCCACGTCATCACGGCAGCGACGCTGTACAGTAGACATCGTAGACCAAGCAATGGCCGCGTACGGGACCGAGTCCGAACGAGCTGAAGATGACGAGACGGCTGCTCTCCAACAACGTCTGCCCGTCTTCCGCGAATTCACGTCCACAGGGGGCGACTAGGCCGCATTCCAGCTTCGCTTCCTCAGCCACCAGGAGATGGTGGGCTGGTCGGACGTACAGGCACTACGGGCGCTGCCGACCACCTTAAATGACAACGCTCGCGCTGCGCTCATCTCCATTCCCGACAAAGAGCAACTCTACAAGCGGCACTTCGGCGAATGTCCGATATCTACGGACCTCCTTCCACCACCCGCCATCAGTTCTATGAGAGACGGTGCAAACCTAGAGAATCGCCATTGGCGTTCCATACTACACTACTCGCCATGGCAAGAGCGGCTTACCGCCGCATAGACGATGAGGCCATAAACGCTCTCGTCCTCCAGAAGCTGCTGGAGCTGGCGCGTGGACTGCTCGTTGTCATCCAAGCCATGGATGATGAAGATATGTGCTCACTGTGAGCTGCCCGGAGCATCCATACTCACCTGATGCTCGACTAGGACGAGATCATCACCGCATCGGCTACGACGTCGGAGCCTGCCAGCAGGGAACGACGATCGCTCTCCAGATCGTGCCTTCGCAATGACCAGGGCGACGGGCCGGCGATCACCCGACTGCACCGGGCGTCGCGATGACCAGCAGCGGGGATGGCCCTTCCCCCGCAGTGACGTGACGTGTTTCAACTGTGGCCACCGAGGCCACATCTCAACCGACTGCCGTGCACCTCGTCGGCGCTCCTCCGGGTCCCGAGGCCAGGACCGCAGGGCACCCAACGCACCGCGGCATAAACAGGCGAGTCGCGGCACCCCTCACGCTCGGCCCTCACTCACACCTTATACACCACAATACACCATTGACGTTGCTCGTGATTCGGCGTATGACGTGCGGTGTTCTGGTGATTCTTCACAGCCACTAACCTGGGCAGTGGTCGGAACTGGCCCATAGAGTGTTCGCAGCGACGGCGAGTTCCTCGGTGGTTGTGGGTTCAATTGAGGGTGTAGAGTTTTGTGTGCTTGTCGACACTTGTGCATTGGTCACTATCATTTCGGATTAAATTTGTAATATACTGCCGGTGCGATGTCGACCCTTGCAAAAGGTCTCTGTTCCGTGTTTTGCTGCGAATGGAAGTTCGCTGGGGATTATCGGGCAAATTCGGGCGCAATTTTCGATTGGTGATATTAAATTGGCCGGCCCTGTTTTGGTCTCTTCCTCCCTCACGGTGCCGTGCCTCCTGGGAACTGATTTTCTCGCCAAATTGCCCATTAAAATCCTTATAGATCAGGGGTGTATTGAACTTCCGTCGGGCCGTCGGATGGCGTTTTTATCCGCGACCACGCATTCACGTATGGCCAATGTCTCTGTGTAGGCTTTTGCGGCTTGCACTGTACGCATTCAGCCAGGGGCGCAAATGCTTGTACCCTTGCGGTTAAAGAAACCGCTCGCTCCTAACGCCTCGGTACATGGCGTTCTGTTAGGGCCATCCAACACGGCAGTTAAGGGCCTAGCATTGGTGGCCGCACAGACCCTCTTAGCAGCCGACAGGGAGCCATTTTTGCAAGTTTTGAATGTTGGTCTGTCCGAAACCGTCGTTCCACAAGGGTCTGTGCTCACTCACACGACAGTGGCGCCCCTGGGGACCGAGGTCGTGGGACATGTATTTGACGACCCGCAGCCTCAACCTCCTCCCAAATCAGATGAGGGATGGTTAGATGCACTCTGCGCGGACGCTGGCGATTTATCCAGGCCGCAGCAGATGAAATTGCGGGCTCTTTTGCGGGAATTCTGGGGATGTGTTCAGCAAATCTCAATTTGATATTGGCTGCACCAAGCTGCTGTGTCACCACATTGACACTGGCGACGCTGCCCCTATCCGTCAAAACCCATTTCGGCTCAGCCCGGCGGAGAAACAGCATGTGAAATTGGCAGTTGACAACATACTGGCGGCTGATATCATTTCTCCTTCAACCAGTCCCTGGGTGCTCCGATAGTGCTGGTCAAAAAGCAGGATGGCAGTCTTCGTTTTTGTGTTGATTTTCGGCGCCTAAATACAATTTCCATGGCTGACGCCTATCCTTTTCCACGTATGGATGAGTGATTGGATGCTCTGGCAGGGGTGCATTATTTTTCCACTCTAGACCTACTGTCGGGGTTTTGGCAACTTCCCCTCGATGAGGCGTCAAAACCAAAGACTGCTTTTCGGACACCACAGAGCCTTTTCGAGTTTAATAGGTTGCCCATGGGTCCCCACTCGGCCCCAGCGACGTTCCAGAGGCTCATGGAGCTCGTCCTCGCTGGGCTCCAGTGGGACTCATGTCTCATTTACCTTGATGACGACATCATCTTTGGCCGCACGTTCAAGGAACACATTGAACGGTTGCGTGCTGTTTTCTTGAAAATGCGTGCTGCTAACTTGAAGTTCAAACCGCAGAAATGCCAGCTTCTGCATGAGTTTGTGCGCTATTTGGGCCAAATAGTCAGCCGCTCAAGAATTTCCACCGACCCCACAACGACCAAATGCGTCAGCCAATGGCCTACCCCCACCTCTGCGGGGGACGTTCGCAGTTTTTATCGGATTTGCATCGTATTACCGACGTTTTGTTGCTGGCTTCGCGACAATCGCCAAGCTACTGCATGCCCTTACGTCAAAAGGGATGAAATTTAATTGGGGGGATGCAGAACAGGCCGCATTTGACTCCTTGCGGAATGCTCTCGTGGCGGCACCGCCCTTGGCTTAACCCGATTTTGCGAAACCGTTTATTCTGGACACCGATGCCAGCAACAATGGGATCGGTGGGGTGCTGTCCCAAAACGTAAATGGTGTAGAGAGGGTCGTTGCCTACGGGAGCAGGGTCTTGTCCCCTGCGGAGCAACGCTATTGCGTAACCCGACGCGAGCTGCTGGCCATTGTTTATTTCATCCAGCAATACAGGCCGTACCTGTGCGGTCAACGTTTTACCGTACGTTCCGATCATTCGGCATTACAATACGCTCAGCGTGTTGACCAACCATCCGGCCAGCTCTCCCGGTGGCTCGAAGTCCTCCAGGACTACAATTTCATG